TATATATGACCACGGAAGGTGCTTTATTTCACCGTAAATACTTTTCCATCCCCGTACAAATGCCTGTCTATTCATTTTTAATGACAGACCGTCATGCTCTCACGGTCTATCGTTTTTGCGTTTTAGCCATTAATGAACATCAGATCCAAAGTCCACTTATGGAAGGGAATAAACCGTGATTTAATCAAACCGACCCTAATCACTTTGAGTCAGTTTGCTGACCATTCGGATCGAACAAGCTGCTATTGTGGGCCAAAAATACTATCATATGGCTCGTGTGACGATCCTCCTTCCTGTCCTAAAAACAACACGACCAAAGGCACCTCGCCCCAATTGCCTTCGTCAACACCATCGAAAAATACCATAAAACGTACTGCTTCTTTACTCCCACGATTCGGTCCCATGGATCCTGTCTCTAACATTCGACCCGTTCATTTTGATCCAAGGGACGATGAAACAGCGTTGCAGCGGAAGTACAGATTGTTTTATGCCGATACGTGGAAGTGGTTGGATCGATACTGGGCCGCACATAATATAAAACTGATGCAGGTAAGGTGCCTCTTGTTTGTAAACAACACCTGTTAGCTGCTTTTATTGACCTGGTTGTTGCGAGTAGTATATACATCCACAATTGTGTGCTGCACTTGGTTAATCGACAAAAATGAATAAAAAGTTACTTTTCTTAAGTCACAAATTCCTCGTTTTCACGCTATCCTTTTCTGATGCAACTGCATAATACAATCAGGGTGGTTGGTGATAGCGCAATGGTTTGGTCGTTGTCACCGGCGTGCTTTGGACTCTATGGTCCGAAGTTGCAGCCCCATCATCGCCGCCCAGNGGTGATTGGCAGCCCAGCTGTGGTCTGGGTCAGTACCACACCTAACCTAGTGGAGCCTTATGCATTTGGCCACTCCAAGTCCTAGGGCTTAGGTTTCGGGTTTCCATCAATGAACAACAGCTCCTCGTGACTATGGGGCTTTCCCGGTCTGCTGTACGTGATCGGTGCGCATGCATGACTTCCGAGATTCATTTCTCTCTCTCTCTCTGTTTGATATGAGCTGGTACTTTATGTGCTTATCCGATCGTTGTTCTTTACTCTCAGAAGTGATCGAAAAGTAGACAGACCGTTAGGTACAACAGCTCCGACCCTGTGTGAATGTGAAAAGTATCAGCTGGTACACCGTTCATTCGGCAAGTGTGTCTGTTGTATTTGATAGAATAACTGCTTCCTTTCGGTCTGAATTTCGGAATTGAGTTCTCCAAAGGCCCGTTTGGTCAACTAAGGTTAAGGAACGCTTTGTGCACCCGAAGCGTGAAATTTGTTTCGCTTTATAGATATGTATAATGACTAAAAAGGGTCTAACGCACGTCTTTCTTTAAGATAGGCAACAGATGTTGTCGTCTGAGCCCAGACTGTGTGCCAACCAAATCATAGTACAATACTCTTTATAAAAAAGATAAATTTCCATGATTTTTTGTGTGAGTGGAACACTGCCATATTACCCGGTCCCAGGCCCATGCAGGTGAATCTTCCTGATTAGTTTACAACTATTTCGCCTGTTCTCCTAGCTGGGCAATTTGTTTGCAAACGTTTCATTAGCAGCCGAGGTGACGTCATCAGTACTAGTGAAGTAGCCAAACTCGACGAACAGGCGAAATGGAATTGAGAACCGATTCTCAATACTTAGTCAATTAACAACCGGTGAGCCAAAACCTGACCCTCAAGGCAGCGAGGCGGTGTGTGAAAACCGCAATCCATTGGGAGCCGGTGTCTGGTTCATCAGATCATACGCCCTTTGGATGAGGTCCAACGTCCAAGGTGTCCAATACACCACGATGCCCAGTTGAGCCAACTGCTTATGATTCAGCGATCTGGTTATGTTGGTTTTTGGTCCTCTCACATGTGTGGGGAAGAACACCTCCAACACGAGAAGGCAGTGAGTAGGGAGGGCTTCCTCAGCAGATGGTGTTCGAGATACTTGGTCATATTGGAGCATTTCGTGAGGCTGATAACAGCTGACTAATCAATTCGGTCGGTTTGCGTCATTCCTAAGAGAAAAAATATATGTGGTATTGCTCGTTCAGATCACGATGCACATGTTTTAGATTAATGGGTGTATCGCCTGGTTTGAAGCGAACGCGGAAAAGCCCGGATTACCCCGCTTCAAAAAGAGAAACAACGAAATAGTCATTTTGGTTGGTTTGATTGGATTATTCGTTCGCCTGTCTCGACAACTAAATTTCAAGTCAGGTTTACCGTTTAAAATGCTTTACTCACTTTGTCAGCTATCGGATGATACTACAAATGACCGTCATGGTCGATGATCACGGTGATTGGAAGTAATCCCATTATAACGTCAAAGTGGTAAAAATCGGGGTACTGTCGGTTCATTCTTAACTCAATTAGTGTGTTGTGCGGTAACCAGAACTTCATTTAAAAGCCCCATACGATTGGAATACTGCGATGCGGTTACGTCACAACAGAGCAGCCATCCGCGTAGCGTCTCTTCAGAACGAAGCACTGCTCTGTTTTGTGTACTAATTGACTGTTCACCTGTCGTGATGTCATACGATTGGAACATTATAATAACATGTGCCTCACGGTTGCGTGATATTGTAACACTAGGTGATTGGATTAGTCACGTGTTGTGTTTGTGATGACTTTTTGCGTCATGGTGATGAGTGTGTCACTCTTATGCCTAAACACACACTCACGTTTATCATATCTTTTGTCAACCGCATACCGTTTCTCTCTTTTCATCGTTTCGATTGTGTAGGCCAAACGGGAGTTTTTGGAATCCGAAAACAAGCGTGTCGAACACTTATCACCAGACAACAAGTTGCAACCGGACTTGTCCGATTTTCACGCTCGATTTTTGGAGGAAAATAGAAAGTCACAAATGAAATTCAATCTGTGAGTTGCTTGAATATGAAGTATTTCAGAAAATAGAATTTAAATACAAAATTGTCGCAGTTTGTGCGTGCATTGCACGAGAATACACCGAATCTCACAGTCGAGCAGTTTGACAAACTGGGTGTTTTTTATTGTGTGTGTGTGTCTGTGAATACACCTTTTCCCATCAAGCTTTAGCCCAAACCCGCAATCCTTTAGCCTCGACCCGCAATCCTTTAACCAAAACCCGCANCGAGTCAGAACAAAAACTATCGGTATATTCTGAGGTCAACGAATGTTGAAAAAATTTATATTTTACAAATTTTCATATTTGCAAAGCTTGACTAATAAATGAGAAGGTGTGACGATCGTATATCGCGC